GCTCACTGCACGTTTATCTAGTCCTGTTGTAATTTTTTCTGTATTTTGGTTCTGCTCTAATTTTGGTCACAGTGATCGTCGGGAAGAGTTGTGATTATGAATCATTATACAATTGATAAAATTTTTTTATATTATTTTACAATACTTTTTTGGAAAGCTCGTTTAACTTATCTTTCTATAAATATTGAAAATGATTAAACAAACATGAAGCTCTCACTTTGCTTTAAAAAAATATTTTGAATCTCCTTGAGTTCTATGGTTTTATCTTTTTGTTAATTTCACAATTTGATTGGTTGACTAATCCTGTAGTAATATTTTGACTGGTCGATATAATATTGGGGTGTCTACATTGGTCTAATTACAAATATAGTGCAGGTGATTTAATAATAATCACTAATCGAGATTGTTTATAGTAAAAAACTTTTGGGATAGAAATTCAATATTAAAGATTATAAGAAACAATGTTTAATTCCTTATATAATATCTAATATTTTTTAATTTTATTAAAAAAAAACTGGTTAATTAAAGGTGTTTTTATATCATAACAATGTCAGAATTTTTGACTTGTTAACAAAATACTTTTTTTTCATAAATACAAACTTAGTCACATGATATAGATTTTTAAATTATATAGAGATAGCAATAATAATTAAACTTCTTATCATTATTGTTATTTTTCAGATTCTTTGGTTTCTTTTCCAATATCTAATAAATTTTTTTAGTAAGTAAATTTTCTCTATAAAGGGTCTTTACATAATAACAATATTAAAATTTTATTTATCTTTCGATAACTAATAAATTGTTTTACAGTATATGTAATAGGCTATAATCTTTACTTTAGTCTGCAAAGTACTATATAAAGAATATATTAAAAAGGTATTTATCATTCTTGTAAATTCAGTGCAGCTACATACTTATTAAAATTATTAAGGAAATAATACCATTCAACTAAAGATCTAATATACTACTATTAAATAAAATTTAAATTATAGTAAAAACAATAATAATAAGATAAGTTAAGTTTTGCAATAAAAACTATTAAATAATATCGATTAAAAAGATTATCTAAAAATTAATATGCTATTATTTTATTTTTTTGGTGTTAAGGTGAGGCCTTGCTCATATCTTTATTAGGTAATTTATATAAATAATTACATAGAAACTATATAAAAACTAAATTTGTATAATAACAAGTATTTATAAATTACATGCAAGAATGGAAGCTCAGACTAAAAGCAAAAGCTAATTATCTGCGACCTAAACCTACTAGAGTGGTCAAGACTTATATAGGTTTTAATAGTTAGTATGTGATTTGTAGGAATGCTGAATTGTATCCATTCTGTAGGCTATTGATTGAATTTGTATTATATCTGCCCTTCAGAAGGGCAGTTATTGTTATCATGCTGTTGGTCTAGTAGGCCACACAGATAGCTGTAAGTGAATTTTTGAGGTTTTTTCCGTTGACTTTGTGCTTGTTTATGTATGGTATATTTAGTTTGATTAAAGGTTTGTATGTTGTGCTGCTTTTTCCATATTGAAAAAACTGGATCTTTGAGACATTATAATTTTATAGTTCAAGAGGCATTAGACTTCCGTGCAATGTTTGGTGGATTAATTAATCATATTGTAACTGGTTCAGAACAATTTCCTGGTTATTTTATTGGGCCTTTTCATAAGATTACCTTATCAATCAAGATGACTAAATTTCTTGTTCAATATTATTCAAATATTTATCTGAATTATAGCTTTCACAGTGAAAATCAAAAACCAAATTCAAAACAATCAATTCTAGTTTCTTTAACAGCCTGTCAAGCAAAAGCTCTTAAACTTGGAGATGAAATATATCAGTCATTCATTTTATGATCTGATTTAAATTCAAATATATTTGCATAATGGCAACTAAATGATGGTAAAAGAATTAATTGGCCAGGAGTAATTAAGTTTTTTTTTGAACATCGTATATTTTTAC